CACCCCACTTCCCATCCCCTCCCCCTAAATCTAATGCAGCAGCAGCCCGGCCGGCGCACAGCGCACGAGCCTGAGGCGCGCTTAAAACTCCTGACTGCAGATGCTCAACACAGCTGCCCATCCGTGCCAGCGCGCGCAGCAAGGGCAGGACGAGGGCGACATTCGAGCCCCAAAGGTTCCGAAAGTCACGAAGTGTAGCTATTCGGCTGTGATATCAATCCCAGCGGCGGGAACTTTTGCTTGGAGGCGGTTTGTTCGGCTCTTCTTTAGTAGCTTCGGGCTGCTGGCTCGAAGTTGGGTAAAAGCCTAAAACTGTGGACTGCGACGGAGTAAGATTCGAACAACATTGATACCGACTATAGCCGCTATAGCCGCTTGGATCCCTTGTAGAAGCAATCTAAGCAATCCCAGCTTTCCTGGAACACAGCGCGCTGCTTTGCCACAGCACGGCGTCGGTCATGAGAGTAATGTTTATCAATGAAGCCCAAGCCCGCACCTTCAGAGAATCTACGCTCTGTTTCCGCAAGTACCGGAAAAGCCCGGACAAGGCGAACGTGGTGCCGAAGAACCCTCGACGACAGGATCGCCATGCAACCTGTTTCGCACTACTGGCTGGCAGAATTCGCCACCAGCTTCATGCGCAAGGATGAAGAACCCAAGATGCTGATTGCACAAGTTGCCTATGTTGTGGATCCTCGCTGCGCTCACCAATGCAGCTGCCTAGTGCTTATGCGGAAGATTGTTGTTACCGCCACTTTCAGTATTGTCAAAGTAGCGGCTGCCACTGCTGCTACTACTACTACTACTACTACTACTACTACTACTACTACTACTACTACTACTACTACTGCTACGACTACTATTCTTGCAACTACGACCACTGCCACTACCACTACCACTTCAACTACTACTGGCACTACGACGACTACTACGACCACTACCACTACCCCTGCCATCCCCTGCTACTACCACCTCCACTGACATTACCACTACCACTGCCACTCCACAACTACTGCTGCGACTGCTTCTACTACTACTAATAGAATTAATACTACTACTACTACTACTACTATTACTACTACTACTACTACTACTACTACTACTACTACTACTACTACTACTACTTCTACTTCTACTTCTACTTCTACTTCTACTTCTACCACTACACTACCAAGACTTCTACTTCTACTTTTATTTGTACTTGTACTGTTAATTCAGCTTCTACTTCTGCTTGTACTACTACCACTACTACTACTACTACTACTACTACTACTACTACTACTACTACTACTACTACCACTACCACTACCACTACCACTACTACTACTACTACTGCTACTACTAGTACTGCTGCTACAACAGCTACTACTACTACTACTTCTTCTTACTACTATCACTACTACCACCACTACCACTACCACTACCACTACCACTACCACTACGACTACGACTACCACTACCACTACCACTACCACTACCACTACCACTACCACTACCACTACCACTACCACTACCACTACCACTACCACTACCACTACCACTACCACTACCACTACCACTACCACTACCACTACCACTACCACTACTAATTACTACTACAACTATATATACTACTAATACCACCCCAATACCACTAACCACGACCACTACCACTAACAATACCACTACCACTACCATTTCAATACACTAACACTACCCCCCCACCACGACGGACGACTACTATAATACTACTACCACATTCACGCACCAGTTACTACTACTACGAATCCTACGACTACACTACTACTACTACCTTACTACTACTACTACTACTACGACCACGACTACGACTACGACGGACTATTACTACAATACTTACGCCGACCACTACTACTGCTACTACTACTCTTGATGCTGCACTAGTACACCACGACTTCTTCTTTCTATTTCTATATTGTAACTTGCACTTCCTTTTCTTACTTCTAATTCTATGCTGCCACACAACTTGCTACTACGACTAAAACTACCAGTACTCTCTTCAACTACACCACCACCACCAATACCACCACAACAACGACTACACCTACTGCGGCGAATGCCGACAGGTGGACCCACTAGCTTTACCCATGCGGGAACTGGGTGCTTGCCTACTTCCCCATGGCTCTGCCGCAGTGATTCTCTGGCGCAGAGGGACCTGAGTGTGGTGGCGCGCGCGCCGGGTCCTGGTGTTATTAACATGCCTGTTTGGGGGGGTTTCGCGGGATAGCCATGCTTTCAGAGGAGGGGGGGGGGGGGGGGGGGCAGTGACGACGTTCTACGACCGCACACAAATGTAAGGGTCGCACACATATGCAAGGGTCGTCGACAAATGTTCATGTGTATGTAACGTCTGAGATCTATGTGGTGTTCATGACATATAAGACCTGGAAGGCACATACAAGATGCTTTTCATCAGAGACTCATGAGGGATTATAGGCACTGCACAAGTGTTCCATGTAGTCTCCGCCTGGTGCATGTGTTGTGTCTGATATGTAGTATGTGCCTAAAATCCCTTTTGAGTCTCTGATGTAATTTCATGTTGTATGTGCCTTTTATGCGTTATATGTCAGGAATACCACATGCATGTTACACACGCATGAACATATATCGGCGACCCTTACATATGTGTGTACGATGCCCAGAACCTTAATCCCCAGAGCTCCCTGCCTTGGCCGCGAGTTTTAGAATTCACAGTGCTTCAACTTCACTTGTCGGTTCAGGTCTTTAGTAGTTTTTAGGGTTTTTTTTCAAAACCCATTCTTGCTAAGAAATGAGCTTTTTCCCCAGGCAATATTGCAATTCGTACCTCACATGGTCCTGGTGGGCGCGTGACCTAGTTTGGGGTGTGTTCAGCTCGTGACAAACATACGTCGATGATGCATCGAATGTTGCTCCCTTTGCTGATGTAATCATGTATCTCAGGCATGCATACAGAAATCAGTATGGCTGGGGCGCCACGTTGTTCCCCTCCGCTCCAAAAGCAATTGCAATGCTTATCTGTGGGCCGTGCTTGCGAAGCTAGAAAATGTAGCAGCATTCAAGTTTACAGGTTTCGGCTGGGAGTTGCACACGAATCAGCACCGTTCAGACAAGTCCCTGCTCCAGGCTGGCTTCTTCTCCACGATGATACCAGATGCGGCTGCCGACCTCGAATTCCACTCGGGCTGTTCCTGGAAGAATATCCTTTGCAAACGAAGCCCGCGCTCTGGAAGTTCTCATTCCCCATCGGTAACGAGGGAACCCTGAGTCGCAGCTCCCGGATGCTAGTCTCCAAGTCCAGTGGGGGGTTTAATGCAGTTCTTACATGCGCTACCAGCAGGTCAGGGACCGAAAGTCCAGAGGGATAAATACCTTCATTCGAGGACACCGGGCTCATCCAAGTGCCGTACCGACTCAAGAGCTTCGGGATACATTCTGTACTGCTATCTACAGTTCTGTGACATGACGATCAGTGATTGCATGCACTTGCTGTCGCTCTCCATAAGACTCAAGCCTTGTATGTGGAGTTTGCCCGTTTCCTTGGGGCTTGCTGCCATGACCATGAATGCTGGAAGTAGCAAGAAGTCAAACAAGATCGTGCCGACAGTCTCTCGCTGGCTGCTACATGTTCGAGCTGAGTTGTTCGCTGATTGGGGACAGCATGAAGCCTGGAATTATCTAGACTGCCATGTCGAGTGCCTTCGGAACGGCTTGCTTGATGCATACAGGGCCTGTCATGTGGATGAGTCTGATGCAGGGCTAATTCTGTTCGCGATCAATTGTCTCACCACTTTGCGACTGGGTAGTCACGATACTACCTGTTGGATCGCCACGGGGTTCCCGCCCAAGGATCCTCGCTTTGGCTGCTCGCCGCCTTTTTTTGCCAGGAGAAATGTTACGGTGATGTAACTGGTGCTGCATTTCCTAACATACGCAGTGCCAGCAGAGCTGCAGCCAATTAGTTGGCCACATGTGGCAGCCTGGCTAACGGTCTACATAGAACGCTTCGGCCCCGAAGGCTGGTGTTTGCTGGACTGAGGCACTGTCCACGCTGCAGCACGGATAGATTCCATATGAATGCCGCAAAATCCTCAGTTCGCCGGGCTTCGGGGGCACAGGTTCAGTTAATTCGGTGTTCGGACCCAAGCTCACATCCACACCTTTTCGGGTGCACTGGATGCAACCAATCAAAAAATCCTCCACCCGACACCCTGAGCCCTGAATCCGTGAGGCCACTCAGTCCTCTCAAGCTAAACACCTGCATGTGCATCCAGACCCTTGAGAATTGAGAACCCTAAGTCCCAGCCCGCACCACAGGTTTTCGAAGGCTTCGCTCGTACATTATCACACTATATTCCCTATATAGGTATCCTTAACCAACTCCTATAAGCTACCTGACCCCTCTACACCCAAACCCTTGAACCCGCAGTCCCGTTCCACAGGCTTTGAAGGACTTCACTGCCCCATCATGATGTGGCTTTTTGCGCATTCGCTCGGTGGTATGCATGCGGTAGCGCATATGTATATATATATATATATATATATATGTATATATATATATATACGGTGATATTTAACACAGCATATACATATTACATATATGTATATATATATATATATATAATATTATATTGATCATATGTACAACATGTGCATATATATATATATATATATATATATATGTATGTTGTACATGCAATGTATGTTTATACACGCACAAGTCGGTGTGCACATGGGCACATACTCTTTTGTAATCGTCCTCGGGACCCTGAACAGATTTTCGATCTATGCTACCTATAAGCACCCACCCTCAAACCCTAAAACCATAAAACCAACAACGTGATCTGTATACTGTACGATCCGGAGGCAGCAAACGAGCTTTGCAGCCAAGCCCCATCCGGAGAAGGAGGCCTAGGCTCCGCACGTGCCCCTGTTTTACTTTAGACTCCCTAAACCCTAAACCCTAAAACCCTGAACTGTGTGTGCTGGCTTAGCCTGGACAGGAACACAAAAGCTTGCAGCAGAAGCAGATACATGTATAGATCGCTCGGCAGCTGAAGCAGAAATCCAGCAGTACACAGACGGACAGCCACTCAACGTAGCAGAAGCTCTTGCAGCCCGTCAAGACGAAATCGAACAGGAAGCAGCAAAGGCAGCCGGCAGAATGGAACAGGAACGAGCAGCAGAGGAAGTGGCGAAACTCAAGCAGCAAGCCGCAGCAGCACAGGAAGCAGCCAGAAAGCAACAGGAAGCCGCAGCAGCAGAGGAAGCCGCCCGTTTGCAACAAGAACAAGCCGCACAGGAAGCAGCCAGAAAGCAACACGAAGCCGCAGCAGCAAAGGAAGCAACCCGTTTGCAACAGGAAGCCTCAGCAGCAAAGGAAGCCGCCAGAGTGCAACAGGAACGAGCAGCACAGGAAGCAGCCCGTTTACAACAGGAAGAAGCCACACAGCAAGCGGCCCGTTTGCAACAGGAACACGCAGCAGCAGAGGAAGCCGCCAGAGTGCGACAGGAACGAGCAGCACAGGAAGCAACCCGTTTTCGCTTGGAACAAGCAGCACAGGAAGCAGCCAGAAAGCAACAGGAAGCCGCAGCAGCAGAGGAAGCCGCCCGTTTGCAACAGCAAGCCGCAGCAGCAGAGGAAGCCGCCCGTTTGCAACAGCAAGCCGCAGCAGCAGAGGAAGCCGCCAGAGTGCAGCAGGAGCAAGCAGCACAGAAAGCCGCCAATGCCCACACACAGAAAGCAGGCACGCCGCAACACGAAGCATTGCTGAGGCAAATCGCCGAGCTCCGCGAGAAGCGAGCCACTTTGGAAACAGCGAAGGCAGTGCTTGACAACTTGGAGGCAGAGGCGACACTGGAACAACAATGGGCAGCAGCATATATGCTCTCGGGTCCCGGGCCGCCCCCCCCCCCCCCCCCCATGGTATCCCCCCCCCCCCAACCCCCTGCCGCCCTGCTGCTGCACGCCCACCCGCCCTGCCCGCCCCGCCGCCCCCGGCCCGCACCTTGCCTGCCCCTTGACCTTGTGCGCGGATCGGGAGTGTCGCACTATGCCCTGCCGTGTGCGGAAAGCGGCATCTGACGTGAATTGCAATGCTGAATTATGAGGGTTGTATTGCGATGGTGATGGTGGCAGATCTTCTTTTGCAGGTATCAATGATGAACATGACGACGACAAGGATGATGTTGAGCATGGTATGATCGTCGACTCATGTCCCGGTCTAGAGCAGCACAACATCATGAGCAGTATCACCGGTGCCACAACAAGAGGGAAGACAAGGAGTAACACATAAGAACGTCGTGGCAAAAAGAGTACCACCACAGGCCCCACACCACAGGGGGGGCGGGGGGGAAGGGGGGAGGATACCATGGGGTGGGGGGGGGGAGGGGGGGTGTGGCAGCCCTGCATCATATATGCAGTCGCTAGAAAACCGCAGCACAGCAGAAGCCCGCAAGGCTGAGTCGGTAAGCCCGGCACCCAAGCTGCCTCAAAAAGGTCTCAGTCTCAGCCAGGCAAGCTTGACCCCCTCGAGCCAGGATGCTCAGGACCCTTGGCAGGTGACTCCACGAAACTTGTTCCCAAGCCCTCCGCAGAACCCCTCCGCCAACCCGACCATGCCGACAGCATGCAAATCCCAAGCCAAAGCAGCAGCACCGCCACCACCAGCCAAGGCACAGGCGAAGATGCCGCAGCCCAAGCAGATGCCAGCCGCAGCAGCCGCTGGCCAGATCCGCCAACCTCCGCCGAGCCAAGCAGCTCTGAACAAACGATTGTCGCGAGCAATGGAACCGAACGCGAAAGGAGTGTACAAGGTTAGTGAAGAAATCCGCCGCCAATGGAATACTGGTGGTGACGACAGAAAGAATGTCATAAAGCTGTTCGCAGAAGCAAACTATGATACGGACTGTCATGTGCTTGCATGTGCATATTACGAACTTGTATCTAGAACATGCTAGCCTATACGAATGCTTTTGAGGAGACCTTTGTTCGCCGGCACTCTACGACTGCCGAGAACTCCAAGGAGATGGAGCTCGCAGTCGACTTCGAGTTTCTTTCGAAGGCAGAGATGGCAGCAGAGCCCTACAACATGTGTGAGAGACTTCACTCAAATCCTGACAACCCCAGACATCATGTAATTCCAAACCTTATAAGCCCTTAACCCCAAAGCCGTGAAGCTCAACAACAAAAAAGCGAAGCCATGCCTCAACCTGTGAGAGGCTTCTCTGACATAGTGATAACTCCCGACTCCTGTAAATCCCAAACCCTAAGCCCCAAACCCTAAAACCCTTAACCCTAAAGTCTAGCAATAAAAAAGAAGCTGTGAATCAACCTGAGAGAAGCTTCTCTGAAGTCCTAACAACCCCCGACTCTTGTAAATCCAAAACCTGAAGCCCTTAACCCTAAAGCCCAGCAAAAAAAACCGAAGCCGTGAATCAACCTGGGAGAGGCTTCTCTGAAATCCTAACAACCCCCGACTCTTGTAAATCCCAAACCATAATTCCCAAACCCTAATCCCTTGACCCTAAACCCTTAACCCTAAAGCCTAGCAATAAAAACCGAAGCCGTGAACTCTGAAATCCTACCGACTCCTGTAAACCCAAAACCCTGAGCCCTTGACCCTACAGCCCTCAAGCCTCGCGATACAAAACCGAAGCCATGCCTCAACCAAGGGCCGACATCAAGGCCGTCGTCGCCGCTGCAGAGACAAACAAGGATAAATTCATTCGGTGCCTCGGCTGGCTCAGTTTTCTCCAACTACAATTAAGGCCTGGGTCAGGCTGTTACTCCGTTGTGCTCTTGCCTGCTTCATCGCTCTGTGCTGAGGAAGCATGCCTTCAAAGTAGGTGTGCTGGCCTACTATGTGGAGACCAAGATTCATGGTCACAAGAAGAGCCTTCGCTTATCTGTTCTAGTGGATCGTAATACCATGCTTGGATACCACATTTCAGCTAGACGCATGCAAGACTCTATCTGATCAGGGCAACAAAGAAAGTGAGCATCAAGGAGGAGAACGAGGGCTTGGCTAACACCGACCACATCGAAGTGGACGTGGATCTGGAAGATGCCCTGATGGTGATGGCCGCTTGCATGCACGTGCATTAATGTGCAGTTGGGTGGCTTGCATCATATCCTCTGAATGCCTCAGCTAAGGAGTGAGGCCAGACAATCTGAACGACAAGGCTGATGGGCTGAGTGCCCAGCCGCCACAGAATGACGAGCTGGCCAAGCTTTTGAAAAAGCTTGGATTCCCCGAGGGCAGTGATGCTAGCAAGCCCTCAGCCCTCCTCGCAAAGGCAATTTCGTCTGCTCAGATGATCCCTTATGTACCCTGGACTATTCGTAATCTTAACCTGAAGGAAACGGGCAAGGGAGCTTTGTTCGATCTGCCCTCAAAAACAACCTTGTTGTACAATTGCCAACAGTGTAGGCTCTAAGTTATATATACCAGCCGATGCTACTGAAAACCGACGGGGCCTGGCTTCGGCACGCTTGGAGTTTCACCAGTGTTCCTTTGTGCTGCCTCAGGGGGGGCCCTTAAGTTATTGGTTCAGGAGCTACTTGAGGTCGCTGTTGGTGCTGTCTAAGCACGGGTTTAGGAGCTAATTCGTGCCTTTGCATTACGGGATCAGGAGCTACTTCGGGACCCTGGTGTGTCTAAGTACGGGTTTAGGAGCTACGTGCCTTTGCGTTACGGGATCAGGAGCTACTTCGGGACCATTGTGTGTCTAAGTACGGGTTTAGGAGCTAATTCGGGTCCTTCTGTTCTGGGTTCATGAGCTGAAAAGGCCCTTTATAGTGCTGTCTAAGTAGGTATTTGGGAGCTAGTTCGGGTCCTTCAGATGTGGGTTTAGGAGCTTTTTCAGGCCAATTTGTGCTGTTTGAGTATATGGGTTGAGGAGCTAATTCGGGCCCGTCAGTTATGGTTCACGTGGAGGGACTAGGCCCTTTTTGCTTAGAGGGTTCAGGAGCCAATTCGGGCCCTTCAGTTCTTGGCTCAGGAGCTACTTCGGGTTGCTGGTCCCGTCTAAATACGGGTTTAGGAGGTATTTGGGGCCCTTATGTGCTGGGTGCAAGGCTATTTCGGGCCCGTGGTGCTGTCTGAGTACGGGTTTCGGAACTGTTTCGGGCCCTTATGTTAGGTGCTGCTTCGGGCCCCTGGTGCTGTCTAAGTACGGGGTTAGGAGGTATTTCGGGCCCTTGTGTACTGGGTTCAGTAGCTGCTTCGGACCGCTTTTGGTGCTGTCTTTGCACGGGTTTGAGGGCTAATTAGGGCCGCTCGGTGGCAGTTTTGACAGAATCTGGGCCGGAATTGTCCGCAAGTACGAAAAAGGGCCCGCCAAACAATTGCGGGAATTGGCGTCCAAATTGCGGGAATTGGCGTCCAGATTGCGGGAAGTGGCGTCCGCCCTCCTCCGCCCGTTTCGCGAGGCATTTTTTGCTCTCGAGCTCCGGTAGCCCGCCGCTCGGATCCATGGATTCGGGCACTCGTACGGGGGAAGAACCCCCTGCCAATGGCCCGGGTGTTTTCGTGAAGAAGAGATCCCTGCTACTGATGACGAGATCCAACAGCAACTAGAGGCCAGGTGCACAGGATGCATACATGAGGTTCAACCTGCAACCAAGTCTCCCAGCTTTGCCACAGGATCTGAAGCGCAGGATGCAGGCTTTGCAGAAGGCGAAGGCCCGGCTCCTTAAATCGAGAATCAAATTCATTCTGGGATTCGGGAACTAGACTACAGTTTCTCCTTGTGGGCTTTTTTAGATACCGACCCTAAACCCTGAGCCCGACACCCCCCAAGACCGAAGGCCTCTGTACAAACATATTGTGGGGATGGGTTCCCAGGTTATAACTATAATAGGTTCCATATCCTGATGGGTCTTATAAAACAAAGAACAGTTCGCTACAACCCAAACCTCTTTAGCCTTCAGCTACCCGCACTGTGTATAGCGGGTTGTGCTCCGTTCTCTTGTTTGCTTGGGCCCCTGTCTGTTGGACTGCTGTGTTCGGGACCAGGAAGATGTGTCATGTGCCGCCATTTGCTGGTACTCCTGCTCCTGCTGCTGCTGCTGCTGCCAAACTCTGTGAAATCTTGCATTAGTCCAAGTCTCGCACGGTCATGATCTCACGCATCAAGCTTGTCTGCAAGTGAGCATGCTCGGATGTGCGTACGTGGGTATTTTGGCCAACAGCACGCCTATATGCATACACGCAGGTGTCCCCCTGCAGACACACCCCTCATGCTCTTGCTCTCACCCACGAAGCCCTCAAGATCATCCCACTGGTATATCGCTGGGGCAAAGTGCTCAAAAGCGCTTCTGAGAGCTGGGCATGATTTGTACGGGTGTGCAGGCCGATCCTCTCGCACCTGAGTCGCAGTGGCTGCGCGCTGACAGACTTGAAGGTTGATCATGCAAAGTTTCCGGAACTTTAGAAACTCAAATCGAACCAGAGTCCGGCTTGAGATGGGATGACCGGAACAGTCTGTGAGCAGTCAAGGTGTCAAAGCTCTTCGCTCTAAACAGCGTACGGTGGAGAACGTCATGCTTTCTTGTTGAAGCTAGCGGCGAAATCATCACAGTAGCAAGTAAAAAGGTGTGTACTCACAGTGGTCGCAGGCAGAATGACACCACAACGGCTACAACGGCGAAACATCCCTTGGCCTCGGCATCCAAGCGGGAACAACTCTTCGATTCTGCATTGAAGAATGGGTGGTCTTCATGCAGTGACACATTTGTTGCTTCGGAAGCAAGAACTGTCGATGTTGAAACTGAGAGAGAGGGAGGGAGAGAGAGAGAGAGAGAGAGACAGAGACAAAGACAGAGACAGATGACGTGAGTGTGTGTGTGTGTGTGTGTGTGTGTGTGTGGGGGTGCGTGCGTGCATGCGTGCGTGCGTGCGTGCGTGCGTGCGTGCGTGCGTGCGTGCGTGCGTGCGTGGGTGCGTGGGTGCGTGCGTGCGTGCGTGCGTGCGTGCGTGCGTGCGTGCGTGCGCGTGTGCGTGTGCGTGTGCGTGTGCGTGTGCGTGTGCGTGTGCGTGTGCGTGTGCGTGTGCGTGTGCGTGTGCGTGTGTGTGTATGTGTGTGTGTGTGTGTGTGGGTGTGTGTGTGTGTGTGTGTGTGTGTGTGTGTGTGTGTGTGTGTGTGTGTGTGTGTGTGTGTGTGTGTGTGTGTGTGTGTGTGTGTGTGTGTGCGTGTGCGCACATGTATGTCTGTATGTATGTGTCTGTGTGCGTGTTTGTGTCTGTGTGCCAGCAAACAGTCTTTACACCGCTACTGTGATCTATGTGATTATGCACATCTTTCCGTGGACACAGACAGCTTGATGTGGACCTCAGCAATGAATGTGTATATGACATGTACATTCAAACATACGTGCTTCTACCTTCTTATGTATGCAAAACCTGCAGCGTGTGTCAGCCTCAAACTGCACTATCTTGGCAGACACTGTGCAGGTGCGCAAGTTTGAGCTTTATCTTGTCAGGTAGCCAATGCGGTGCATCTTGCTTGGTGCCCTATACATTCTGTGTCCGTACGTTCATGTGCAGGAACATGTAGGGAATCTGCCTCGAAACACGCAAGCACGACAGCAAGCACAGACACATCAATCCATCCATCTGTCCGTCCGTCCATCCATCCAAATGTACATACCTACAGAACTACGTAAATACCTACACAAACATATACTTACATACAGACGTACGTGCATACACGTTTATCCCGTACAAGCAAAGCTTCCGGCGATGACCATACACCACGCTCGTGCGACATGCAAGAAAGAATACACATACCGTGCAGGCCGTGCACATGATATTCACATCCAACAGAAACATTCCTAGCGACATATTCGGATACATGCACACTGTGAGTGCATGAACTGGCTCGGCTTGAACTCTCAACATCGTGAACAGGGTCCAGTTGCTATAAGGCCAGCGGTTGCCAGAGCAGGCTTCACACTCTGCAGTGATGTACCAATTTCTGAGACTCTGCAGCTTCGCCGATGCCGAGATCGCGACACGGAGCTCAAATGGGGCTGCACAGGACCTTGCATCCGCGCACTACTGGCTTGTGCAGCCACTCAGCACCAGCATGCACTCTGCAAGCTTCGATATCTACGTGCGATTCCTTTGTGTGACGAGCGCAAACCAATGCCCAAGTGGGTAGTTCTGTAAATCCGTCCGAGCACTTGATAGGTATCGATGCTCAGTCCATGTCCCACGCTACTTTCCACTGCAGATTGGTGCAGCATATCAACACAGACTTTGTCCAGGAATAAAGGGAAAAGACAAAGACAGGGTGGGGAATGGCAGGGCATGTGCTGATCGATCTGATGGTTTTGGTTTGGCTTGGGTTGAGGCACTAGTGCCATCGAGTTGAGGTCTTAGGCCTCGTTTGGAGAGGGAGCAAATTCAGGAACTTGGAAAACGAATGCCTAAAAGCTTCCCAAGTCCGTCCATGTGATGCATTCCCGTTGGTTTTATCACGTTGTTGCATGAAACTCATGCACTGCCACATCGTTCCCGGGACCACGTGTCTTAAATCCCTCACACTTGCACAGGAGTGCAGAGTTCTGGTGCGACTCCCGACTTCGAGAGAAATGTCGCGTTTCCTACCATACTAGCACATGCAACCTCAAATCTTTACGTGAAGAAGTGCAGAATCCGAAACTTCAGCTCCGCACCATGCCCTTGCTTCGCAATCGCAGCCCAGGAAAGCGGGTGAAAATTGTGCTTTGGATGGATGTGGGGCAGTGCATCTTGCGCCATTATGTCCTAAAAGCGGTTCGAGCTGGAACCATCACAGTTGAGATAAATTGACGTTGCTATTGCCATGTAGGACGTTGCAATGGACGTGATGAAGCCATTCTGGCTTATCGTGTTCTGTCACTTGTCGTTGCTTCCAACACCATCACTCATGCTGGGAAAACGGCTGCTGCAATCGACGGGCTCCTGCGATCTTGCCAGGTTGGCCAACCGTTCTTACCTTTTCAAGCCGATCGGAGAAGTGCAGCCTGTGAGGGGATCGCGGTGATGCATTCGGCAGAACACAATGAAATGCCATCGGCCGCACCGAAATCGGCCTAAACAGCTATGAAGACTGCCGCTGTGCAAGCACCCGAAAGGTTCTCTCTTTTGCCGCCGTCCGGCACACGAATTCAGAATTCAGGCAACAGTGGGCCTCGGCTGGGTGCAGGACTTGAGGGCACAGTGAGTACAGATGTCGCGTGCGGACACTGTTGGGCATGACGGTCAGCCCTTCTTGCCAAGACTGCGCAGTGAAGCCTCAACGCCGACAGGGCAATGATCGACAGAATGTGTGAAACCCTGAGCTGGCTTCAAAAGCTTGGGAGTGCACTAGTTTGGCACCACTGTGCGGATAACGGTGACGATGTAGCGCACCGTCACCTGGCGCGACATATGCGGGTTTGGGAAGACAATCAAAGCTTCTGCACCAGAAAAGATAACAGCAGTTGTAGTTGTTCACTTCTCTAACGTCGATCTACAAGCAGTAGTCTTCGTTGTCGTCTGTTGCCGCAGCAGCACCAGCAGGCAGTCGTGGGATAGTATCATCGTAGGCCACCCACCAACTCGTCAACCAATCGAAATTGACAGGCCCAGGTACGCCAGCACAAAGAAGGAAGAAACCTCTTGGATTAAAACGAACAGCCAACAACTTCCAAAAGCCATAAACACAGCTGCAACCTATGGAATGTGCCTTCCGGGAATGCACCCGGCAGCAGGAACGATTGGCTGCACGTTCCTTAGTTGCTGGTATTGCTGATGTTGGTTTGCCGGTAGTCGTGGTCTTCGTCGTCGCCAGAGAAGTAGTAGTAGTAGTAGTAGTAGTAGTAGTAGTAGTAGTAGTTGTAGTAGTAGTAGTAGTAGCAGCAGCAGCATTAGTAGCAGTAGTAGCAGTAGCAGTAGCAGTAGCAGTAGCAGTAGCAGTAGCAGTAGCAGTAGCAGTAGCAGTAGCAGTAGTAGTAGTAGTAGTAGTAGTAGTAGTAGTAGTAGTAGTAGTAGTAGTAGTAATAGTAGTAGTAGTAGTAGTAGTAGTAGTAGTAGTAGTAGTAGAAGTAGCAGTAGTAGTACAAGTAGTAGTAGTAATAGTAATAGTAGTAGTAGTAGCAGTAGTAATAATAATAGTAGTAGTAGTCGTCGTCGTCGTAGTATTAATAGCAGTAGCAGTAGCAGTAGTAGTAGTAGTAGTAGCAGTAGCAGTAGCCGTAGCAGTAGTAGTACTAGTAGTAGTAGTAGTAGTAGTAGTAGTAATAGTAGTAGGAGTAGTAGTAGTGGTAGTAGTAGTAGTAGTAGCAGTAGTAGTAGCAGCAGTAGTAGCAGTACCAGTAGCAGTAGCAGTAGCAGTAGCAGTAGGAGTAGGAGTAGGAGTAGGAGTAGGAGTAGGAGTAGGAGTAGGAGTAGGAGTAGGAGTAGGAGTAGGAGTAGTAGTAGTAGTAGTAGCAGTAGTGATAGCAGTAGCAGTAGCAGTAGCAGTAGCAGTAGTAGGAGTAGTAGTAGTAGTAGTAGTAGTAGTAATAGTAGTAGTAGTAGTAGCAGCAGTAGTAGTAGTAGTGGTAGTAGTGGTAGTAGTAGCAACAGCAGTTTTAGCAGTAGCAGAAGCAGTAGCTGTGACGGTAGCGGTAGCAGTAAGGGCAAGAGTAGGAAGAAGAGGCGGAGGAGCAGCACTACTACTAGTAGTAGTAGCAGTAGTAGTAGTAGTAGTAGTAGTAGCAGTAGTT